TCTACCACAATAAAATTTCATTTTTCCCTTCATTCGTGGCATTGATTGCTTCCAGAGAGTGCCCCAGCCCCAGGTAACCTAAACTCAGCGACAAAATCTTGCTGCGTACTTTTTGGCTTTTACCTTAGCAAACAGTTACAGTGCTTTTATGATTCATTAGCTATCCCAACCTGATCAGACGCTTATCTCTGACTCCTTTGCACATCATCTTTTGGACCTTTAATTTGCCATTTCACAATCATCACTGCAGATTCTCTTTTCTTCTTCTCTTTTTCTTTTTTTTCTATTATAATATTGTCTGTTCTGTAGTGGGTGTGGGTGTGTCTTGATTTTGTTTCTCTCATTATTTGGGTAAAGCAGGAACAAACTAAAGTTTTTATTTTTTTAATCAATTTGGCGTTGTGGTTAGGTGGTTTTCTCGGTTGTCATGATGGGATGTGTTGGCTTGCGTTTATTTCAAGGGAATTGAGGCTTTTTTCGATTCCCATTTATGCATGATCATCTTCTTCCTTACACTAGAATTTTTTCTGTTTTTTTTTTTTTTTTTAAAAAAAAAACCTTTTGCTCTGTGGGTTTTCCTCAGAATTTAGATTCCTTGTGTCAATTTTCTTCCTTGCAGTCCCTTTTTTGGTATTGATTTTCATATCCAGTCTGGTTTTTCAGATTTTAAGGTAAGGTAAGGTTCACAGATTTCTTTCCTACTCTCTTTCATGTTGATTTGGAATCATTTGTTGTCTTTCTCTATGAATTTTAGGTTGGGAAAGTGATAGGCTTTAATGGTTTTTAATCTGTTGTGGTTGCATTTTATGTTGTATCACGTGAATTTTTTCCTTGGATCTTTCCGCCCTGGATTTGGCATCTAGCATTCCTTGTTTCTTCTTCTTACGCTTGAATTGAGTGATTTCTACATTGTAATCAAGATTACATCCACTTTCCAAACGTAAGTTTTGGCTGTTTATTTTTGTAAGATGAACATTTCCATGCTTTATATCATGGTTAGGTGGATTCTGATAAGTGCTTTCTTTCTGGATTATGCAGATTCTGATATTCTTGATACAAAACTTGGTGCCTCCTCCACATTTCAGTGATCAAATTGCGCGGACCGTGCTTAATCTCTTGTGGGATTTGATCTCCTATGTTGGTTATGAGAGAGATCTAAATCTTCTGCGGTTGTGAATCTTTAATGGACTTGCTGTCTACTTGTAAGATTTCAAAGTTCTTAGGCTGTCATTTTGGTTCTCTGACGTGCAAATGTGTAGTTTTATTTGCTCTTGCTCTGTTTTTTAGAGCCGTATTGCTTCATTCATCCTCTGGTTATGTTGGAATTGAATGGAGCAATCTAGAGTTGGTTCATGGTCCTTCTTTGTCACTGAATTCTGATGAAGGAATTCGTAGAGATAAGTTCTTGGAGGTCCCTCAGATTGTATGGGGGTTAAACAATCAAAAGATAGCAGTTGCAAGAGCTTTCTTGACTGCTAGAATGCTCAACCGAACTCTTTTGATGCCTAGCTTGAGTGCTTCACTATTTTACAAGGAAGTCGATCGTTTGCAGCCTATCTCCTTTGACAAGGTTTTCCAATTTGAAAAGTTCTGTTCACTCTGTCTTGGGTTTGTCCAATTAGGCCGTTACTCGGATCTTAAGAATCAAACAGGAGTATTTGATCTGCAAAAGGGAAGTGGAAGAAAGTGGACAGCTCATAAAGATTTGGAGCAGTTGAGGCAATATAGCAGTGGTCCAGCTGATGACTATGAGGTAATTAGAATTGTTGGGAAGAATCCATTTTTATGGCATGACCATTGGCCTGTTAAAGACTATGCAAGGGTTTTTGAGTGCTTAGTTTTGGTTGATGAGATAACAAAGGAAGCTGACAAGGTTGTGTCAAAGATTAGGGAGACGGGAAGAGAATTCAGGAGCAAAACTGGTTTTGCACAAAATGGTTTTGATGCAGAGGAGTCGGTTCCTTATGTGGCAGTTCATATGAGGATAGAAATAGATTGGATGATTCACTGTAAGAAGTTAGAGCAGAGATTAAAAGTAAACCAGATTTGTAGCAGCAAGCAAGAGATTTTGAAGAGAGTTGGGAACATTAAGGGCTTGAAAAGACCTACTGGTGTTTATCTTGCTGTTGCTGATAGTCTTCTAAACGATTCTTCTATTTTGAGTGGCTGGAAGAAAGGATTGGTTCCTTTTGATAAGAAGAAACTTGGTGTTGATGGAATATACAAGAAGCATCCATATCTTATTCAGTCAGCAATTGACTATGAGGTGTGTTTGAGGGCTGATGTATTTGTTGGAAACAGTTTCTCCACATTTTCGAGCCTCATAGTTCTTGAGAGAACGCAGAAGATGAGTAGAATGGGCATCACAAGCTCTTGTGACATCGATGTAAGGTGGCCTTCTTACTCATACAATATATTGGGTGAATCAAACGGTCCTCAGAAATGGATGACTAATATGTCTGATTCAAGTCTTCAAGCAATTAGCTATGGCTCAAATGATGTTTCATGTTGAAAGTTGGCAACTACGATTCTCCAGCTGGAGGGATACAGCCACGGGTCTCCATGTTGAACCTGGTCGAGCCCTGTGGTTGAAATAGGTTTGCTATATAGTTTAGAGTACATTTTGTGTATATTAAGAAGACAGTTAGTTACAGAAATGGGTTTTCAGCGAAAGAAAATAAGATGCTGAAATAGGTACAGTTTTCACTTTTGTAACTATGACTCTTTGCTCGGTTTTCTTTCATACCACATTTATAGAGAACATTTATCTTGAATCCTTGTTGCGTTCAGTCGTTTATTTGTTTGTTATATTCTTATTAATCTTCATTAGAAGATGTCATTTTATGATTCTGATTTTGTGTTGACGATGAAATGAAAATTCCATACATTGTTTATCCCGTTGGTTGTCGTATATTGTGAATGTTCATGATCTCTGAATTACTGAAGGTTAGATGTGATTAGAGTGGTCTGGAATTCTTTGCTTGGTTTATTCTCCTTTTTACTTCCCATAATTCACTGGTGAGGTATGAATAAGACCACGGTGGAATGACTTGCTCCACTTTGTCGCTCCCTCACGTTGGGCCAGCTTTGTTTGGTCCCCCAAGTAGGCGTTTCACTTTCTCTGACGCCATATGTTGTCTTTTTTCATTATGAGATGGAACATTGTTTCATTAAGACTGTGATGGACACGGTGAAGACTGTGATGGACACGGTGAAGTCAGGCCCCCTACCCACCCCCCCCTCTTTCCCCTTTTTTTTACCTTCTCGTCTCGTGTTTTCCATTTGAACTGTTTCTTAAAGCTGAGAAGGAAAGGGAGGGCTCACAATGTTGTGCTTATCCCCTGGTATTCAGTAAAATGCTTGTCAACAACCCAGTGGGATTGTGCTGTCAAGGGAAAAACGCGTCTGGACAGCTAAGTCAATGGCATGTGCTGCTCCATTAAAAGAATTGTTCGGATTTTCAATGTTAGCCATAAAGCCATTACTCAAGCCTAAGAAAGGGGAAAGTTTATACAGCAAAAGTACTCTTTGACTCGAATGGAGTTCGTTTACAACTTCATTACTATTTCTCTGAAGTATGGAGGGGCGGTTATTTTAACCAATCATTTACCTGACACAAAACCCTACATTAAGCCTCTAAATTTATTTTAGATTTTCAATTAAATTCCTAAAGTTATATTGAAACAAATATGGTTTAGTAGTTTGATAAATAAGCCTACATTTAACTGCAGTTATGCTAAGTTGCTTACGCACAACCAGTTTCCCCAAACTTTGCCATACAAAAAAAATTGATTCATTCATAATTTTATCTCACAATAAAATTTTACTGAGTGGGAGGAATGCAGGCGCTTGAACGAGTGAACCTGTTTTGAGGTTAGAAAAAAAATGTAAAACTGACCCAAATGACACTTTCATAAGATGAGTCACAGAACAAAATGGAGATCATCTGAAAATGAGCATTCATTGACTTTTCTTTCAATTTGATGACACTAATAAAAGGTTTCTCTCTATCTTCTTTCTTTTTCTTTCAAGAAGAAAGCAATTACCCATGGAATCTTTGCCTTCGATCTTAAGCAAAAGGCCTCCAGGATCATGAATCTTCCAGCATGTGCTTAATGGAAGGAAAGGTGCTGATAATCAGCATGTTTGTGTTGATGAAGAATGGAAACACTAGAGTGAGAGACTCTGCTTTCCTTGTAGCCTAGGTGGGTAGTAAATAAGCGCAGTTACCTAATTTTGGAATGATTGGCACTGAACTTCATTGAATATAGTCTTCATAGTAGTTGTCACTTATTACTGAGACAAATCTTTCAAGCCAAGGAAGCTGATGTAGGTCCTTCATTGCATCTACATAGGAGTCGGTGCAGCGGGGTGGAGACTGATACGGGTGATGATCACTCAGACCAAAACCCCCAGCAAGGAACCTTTGAATTAGAGCTAGCTGGGATCTTTCTTGCTCCGAGTACGCATCCATGATCATAGGGAGTGAGTTGAAAGTCTCCCATGCCCATTGTTCTGATTCTTGGACAGATTGATTGACCAAGTCCTCGGAGTTGTCTGCATCCCAGAAGGCACATTGACAGGTCTGCTGACTATCCCTGTACTCAGCACCACATGAATAACAGAACTCGTGTCCACACCTGAAAATGGAATGGTGACAGACTTAGTTTTAAATGTGTAGTGAAGTAAAGTGTGTTTCACTAACTTGAACAAACAATCATGAACATACATCTGAAAATACTTATAAAAGCTCTTTATGCTCGCTTTAGCTGCAATTCAAAATCTTTACTTTAACAAGCAACCAAGAACTCAGAAGAGTGCATATGATAACTTGAACTACCGTTTTTAGTTTGATAGTGAAGTTGAACTTGAGGGCTTAAAATTATCAAAAAACCCTTAAAAGCCTTAAACTCTCTGTCTCTCACCAACCCACCCACACCTCATACATAAACGAGATGCATATTTTGACCATTCGAGCCTCATTCGGATAGCAAATAATTCTAGAAATAATAAAACTATGAACATTAGAAGACTTTAACTCTGTACAATAACAATCAAAATCTATCAACACTTAATAATTTTCAATCAACTGACTCCTTTCAAATAATCACAGCACAATATCTAAAACAAGATGCATCTTACCAGCATGTCATATGATAGCAACCTTGAGTGAGCTCAATCATCCTACGGCACTGCTGGCAACGCCTCCACCTGTTGTTTTGTGCCAAACGATGCAATGTAATATCTGCAGCATCTCTTTCCTCCAAAGGGAGGCTCTGGAATTCTTCACAACTCATTGAAGAATGCCAAGGAACCCCGCATTCCACACATATAAACCTCTGACACACCGGGCACTCAACACAGCTATTGTCTGATTGACTAGATGAACTTGCTCTAGCAGATAAACATTCATGAGGATCAAGCAGGACAGAACAATTTGGATAGGGACAGTAGATCCTCTCCGAGTTAAGAACATCTGCTTCTGCAAGGGCTCTCTCCAAAGATTCGTATGATGCCAGTGGAAGAAAAGACCTGCATTCAGTGATGGAAATATAGTATTTGCATCTCAACTGAGGGCATCTAACAGGAACTTGGGAAGACTGCACTTTTCCATCAACATAAGTTCTCATGCAATGGGAACAGAACTTGTGGGAACACTTCATTGTTATCATCATAGGTGATGGCTTGTCCTCACAGCAGATAGGACAACTTTCAAATGATTTATCTCCATTCACAGGAGAAGAAATAACCCCAATTGCGACTTGGGCTAATTGCAGTGGCCTCTGAAGATTGGTGCTTGGAACAAGCTTCAGAACAAAGGCTTCCAGGCTATTAGCATGATCTGTGATCCTTTCCCTCAATGCCACCAAAAGGGGAGTCTCAAGTTTCTCCTCATGTGCAATCTGCCAGGAAATAACACCAATAAAGCACAGTTGAAACTACAAAACATCAGACCTAGTTGTGATGTTAAAAGAGGTGAATTTGCACCAAATTATGCTGCAGTTAAGCCCACAACAAGTATCATTGGATGACTCATCAAAAGCAAGCACTAAAAAAAAAAAAAAATTGCCGGAGGTTTTAGCTTCTCACAGAAAATTTTAGAGAAAACCAGAGTCTAAACCCACATTATCAAATTTACAATACTCGCAAGTTATCAATCTGAATATTGAGAATCAACCCTTAGCAAAGATCTGGTCCTAGAGCCCAGAAATAGTTTCAGAGTGAGATATGGCTAAGGGGTAGAAGTGGAAGGTATGAAAACTTCTGAGTTTAACACCCATACTCCTCTAGAATGCATTACCATACAGCAGAGCAAATTCAAATAAAAAATTTTCAGACTGACCTGATCATATAACAACTGAGAATCTGTGAAAGCATAGACACAATGGATCTTGTTCTGAATTGCCCCTGCCAAACCATCCATTAGAGCTAAATAATGGGCCACGGGTTCATCCACATAAAAGTCAAGCTTTTTTTGCACCTGAATAACAGGAACATCTTTTGACCTCTCCATAACCACCCCAATTCCAGACAACCCAGAACCAGAATCCCCAGCCTCAGCTATAGATATGCCCTTGAAGAACATGTTCACAGAAAATTCATCAAGATCTTCGTTTGGTTCTTCTTTAACCAATTCCTCAGCCTCCTTCAATACTTCATCATCTCCACAACAGCTTCGAAAGTCGTCCTCTTCTTCTTCCAATCTAACATCCCTACCTAAATTCACAGCGGACCCATCAACCAAAACTTCCCGATCCCTCATCTTCAGACAGTGATTTGTCCCTAAACCCACAATCAGCTCTCCCACTCTCTATGCTCCAAGCTTTGACTATTTGCAAATCTGAGCACAATCAGTTAGCATCAAATCCATCAGAAACTTCATCTCACCCAAAATGGCAGATAAAAATTCATATCAAACCGTGATCTCCCACAAAACTATCTCTAAATTGAACTCGAACAGAAACCCATTAAAGAACCGACTGCCTAAAAGCCTATAAAAATCACAAAAAGAGATCAACACAAATTCAAGATCTTTCAATAGCTAATTCAAAATCATGATCTAACAAATACCCGCAAGCAGATCAGTCCAAAAATCCGGCCTTGACAAACAAATCCCCAAAACCATACAAAGTAACCCAAAAGGTCAGAAAAGCTGGAATTTTGACAATAATTAGAACCCAGATTTCCAATCAAGAAAGCAGACAAACCCCTCAATGAATACCTCCATTATTCTCCAAAACAGCAAAGCAAATCAACCATTAAAAAGAAAAAGGGAAAGAAAAGGGTATGAAGTGAAATGAAGCTTCCATACCATTGCCGTCATTAGCCCAGGGGACCTTATCTGGAGGGAATTTTATGAACAGACTGGCAGGATATAAAAAACCCTAATATGACATCTGCATCACAGAAAAGAAATGTTGAAATTGCTTGGTTTAATCAGGATTAGATTAGATTAAATTATGAAAGAAAGATGGAGAGCATCTTAGGTACTGTTTGGCTTAGTAAGAGAAAAGCAATGAAATTTGTTGGCTATCCTTCCTTCAGTTGAGATTTAAAAAAATAAAAATTTTAATTGTATAATATAAAATAATAATAT